TTAAGGCACAGGTACTGTTATGGTAATAAAGACAGATATAGATTAGCAGATCCAAAGATTAAGTCTAAAAATAGACCCACACATATGGTCAAATGACTTTTGAAAAGCACCACAGTAATCAATAGGGAAAGGATAATCTATTCAACACATGGTACTACAAAATTTGGTATCAGCAGGCAAAAAAATGACATACACTCTATGCAAAAATTAACTCAAAATGGATCAAACTTAAACGTAAGTGCTAAAAGTATAAAACTTCCTGAGGAAATAAATTTAGAAAGCCTTAGTGGCCTATGATTAGGCAAAGATTTCTTAAACATTAAAAAACACAAACTAAAAAATCTGAAAACTGAACTTGATCTCCCATGATCTTAACACCACAATACATCATTTTTTTCTTTTGAGCTTTTTAACCACTTAAAAATATAAGCATCATAATATATGAACTAAAAATCTTAAAACTTTCACTCTTCAATAAGAGCCAAGTATAGTGGTGTACTTCTGTAATCCCAGTATTTTAGAGGTGGAGGCAGGAGTATAACAAGTTCAAGGCTAAGCCAGCCTGGGCAACATAGAGAGACCCTACCTGCCCCGCTCCCCAGGAAAAAAAGAAAAAAAAAAAAAAAAGAAAGAAAGAAAGAAGGAAAAAAAAAGTAAGCAAAATTAGTTAAAAAAAAAACAAACCTAAACAAGCTGGTAAAATTCAAATAAGCTCTGTAGTTAATAGCATTTTATCAATACTAATATCCTGGTTTTGATAATTATGCTATAGTTTTAAGATTTTAACATTAGGGGCTAGATAAAGGTAATGGTAACTAGACTATTTTTTAACTTTCCTGTTTCTAAAAATTTACAGAACAAAAATTGTAAAAAGAAAATAGTGGGCAGGGGATAGCTGAGTTATCTAGAGTGCTTGCCTAGCAGATGTGAGGTCCTGGGTTGATCCCAGCACTGGGAAAAGAAAAAAGCAAATGAAAATACCAGCCATAGACTAAAAAAAATATCTGCAAAACATATATGTAATATAAGACCTGCATTTACTATATAAAGAACTCACAATTTAAGACTAAATAGGTATTAGAAGATATACAAATGGCAAGTAAGAATAAGAAAGGTTGCCCAATATCATTAGGCATCAGGGAAATTTTGCAAACTAAACTAAGAGGAGATACTACCACGTATCCATTATAATGTCTAAAAAAGCACTACTAATATCAGATGCTGTGAGAATGTAGAAGTAATGGAAATCCAAAACCATATAGTCACTCTGGAAAAGAATTTGGTAGTTTCTTATAAATTTAAACATATATTTACCATTATTACCTCACAATTCCACTCTAACAAATAAATTTACTCAGATGAAAGATGTGAATGTTTACAATAGCTTTATTCCTAAAAAGCCAAAAGTGAGTCAAACAATCCAAATGTTCACCAACTGTGAATCAATAAACAAATTATGTAGATTTGTTAAAGGAATTCATTAAATGAATGAATCTACTTTTTATTCTATAAACACAATAATGTGGATGAGTCTCAAAAGTGTTCTGGTAGCCAGGCACCAGTGGGCTCATGCATGTAATTCTAGCTGTTTGGGAGCTGAGACTGGAAGATTGAGGTTCTAGCCCAGCTTGGGCAAAAAATTTCAGGAGATTCCACCTCAACGAGAAAAAGCTGGGAATGGTGCTGCATGCCTGTCATCCTACTGATGGCGGGAAGCATAAAATGGGATGGTGGTCCAGGTAGGCCTAAGCAAAAACAAGCCCTATCTCCAAAATAACTAGACTAAAAAGGGCTGGAGGTATACCTCAAGAAGTAGCGTACCTGCTTAGTAAGCGCAAGACCCTGAGTTCAAACTCTAGTAGTTCCAAAAAAAAAAGTATTATGCTATATTTGAAAGACACGAAGCCTGAAAGGATACACAATTGTATGATTCTATTTATACGAAATTCTAGAAAAGGCAAAAACTATAGTGACCGTGCAGATCAGTGGCTGTCAGGGATTTGAGGGGAAGTAATTGATTACAAAGGGTAAAATGTGATGGAAGTATATCAGGAATCAGCATGATTTTTCTGTAAAAGGGCCAGAGAGTAAATGCTTTCAGTCTTTGCAGGGTAACAGAGTTGGTCACAACTAGTCAACTCTCCCTCTTGGTGCAAACGCTGCTATAGACAATACATGAAAGAATAAACATGATTGTGTTTATGGGCAATTACATTTGAATTTCATATTATTTTCACATGTCACAAAATATTGTTCTTTTTCTCTGAAACCACTTAAATTATGAACATCATTCTTAGTCCATGAACTGTACAAAAGCAGGTGGCAGGAAGATTTGACATATAAACTATATTTAAATGACTCTATTTATTAGTATGATTGTAGTGATGGTTACACATGTACACCTTTTTAAAATTATTTAACTATTACAATTAGAGCACTTTATGATAACGTAGGTTATGTCTTAATAAGGCTGACAAAAAAAAAATACAGTCAGAAAGAAACACAATAGCCAGGATCTTCTCTGCACAACTTCCTTAGTAAAGCAGATAACAAATTTGCATTGATCACTTCATCTAGCCAGAGTATGGTGCACAATTATAATCCCAGCACCCAGGAGGCTGAGGTAGGAAGACTGCAAGTCCGAGGCCAGAATGGGCTATAGGGAAAAAAAGAAAAGAAAAAGCCAAGTATCTAACAAGAGAATAATAGGGCCAACACATAAATGAAATGACCTAAGCACTACAGAGATGTCAAACAGTAACAAAAACAGCACTTTTTGAATTTGCCATAGACACAGTCAATGGTTGCATTCATTACACCAAGCACAAATCCTTCTGTAAATGATGCATTAGTTTCTGCACAAGTTCATCCTAATGAGAAATAAAGCTGGGCTAGGTAGGTACAGAAAGTTCACATTTGCACACTTTTACCTTTGGCTGAAAGAATTTATTATATAGTGAACAGCCATGTGATTCTTCACCAGCTGGAGAGTGGTTAGTCTGAGAGAAGAGGAGTCAGTGCAAAAAGCTAAAAATTAAAACATATTCAATCATTATATATTTAAATCCACATTATCATCATCACAAGATAAGCAAGTTACTGATTATTAAGCTCATTCTCATAAAGTGTTTCTCAAATTCAACCACAGTAATACTGAAAAGATGCCTTTGTGATGCTGGAATCTTGCACTGGTAACACTAATGAGCTACTGACCACTCGGGTTCAAGTCTTTCCAAGAGGAAAAGTTGCAGGCTTGAGAGTTTGGGAAGAGATTTTAGAATTTAACCAATTACTCTATTTACAAAAGTATTTCTTTTTCGTATCTCTCAATCTTGCAAAAATCTTTATCTGCTTGCTTGATTATGTTACCAATTAATATCTGAGAATATCAATTCTCAGAGTTTGGGAGATCAAAACAACCCCAAACCACAAAACCTTATACAAACATTCCATTCTGAGAGGCAAATTTCTAACTTTGCACCAGGAAACAAGATCTACAAAACTATTTACTACAGTAGTACTGCAGCCTTTTTAAGTAGTAGGTCTATCTTAGGACAAGTACCATCACATAAAAATTCCATGACATTAAATTACTTGACCCTTATTCAAACCATTTAAAGGAAAGCTTAGAAACTGTTAAGCATTTACATACAAGTATACTTATAAAGCATAATGTGGGCATATAAACGTATGTATGTATGTATTTTGTAGTGCTGGGGATCAAATCCAGAGCCTTGCACTTGCTAGGCAATACAGACGTATTTTTTTAAACATTTAAAATAGTTTTTGAGAATACATATATATAGTTAAAAAATTCAACAGCATGTAGAGATTGAAAAAATAAGTGACTTTTCTACACTGAACCTTAGTCTCCCCTCCCACATATATATTCTACTACTTTTATAATCAGTCCTTCCAGGCTAACTATGCATAATATAGGCCTATGCAATAATTGTGCCACTTATTACTATTAAACACATTTCTTAAGTACCATTTGCCACACATAGTTCATTACATGTCTAGTTATTATCATAATTATTTAATAGAAGAGGAAACTGAGGCACAGAGATATGAATTAGGTCCTGGGTCACACTGATAAAGGATGCAGTGTTTGAATGTGAACTGATTCAGACTCATACTGACAACCACTGTACCTATACCAGCTCTGCACATATATTCTTTTTCTAAAAAATGTTAGGAAACATTGCATATTATTTTGCACCTTTTCTTGTGTGATGTAAATTTTAAATCTAGTTTCAAAACTTTCATTTTTCAAAGTTTATGGGTTTAGTTGTGCTCTATACGCTCAACACAAAAAATGTGAAGAAACAGAAAATGTGACTCTGCTGTCATATTTGGAGGTAACAGTATCAAAGATTTTTTCACGTAAATAAAGAAAAAAATGGATTTCATTATTTTGCCTAAAACCCAGATTTATAACTTTTTTTTGGCAGTGCTGGGGTTTGAACTCAGGGCCCAGAGCTTATTTTTCTAGGCAGGCACTCTACCACTTGAGCCATACCTCTCACCCTTTTAGCTTAGATTATTTTTCAGATAGGGTCTCTGCTATTTGCCCAGACCCAGCCTTGAACAGTGACCCTCTTACCTATGTCTCTTGTGTAGGGGGGATTACAGACATGTGACATCATGCCCAGTTTATTTGTTGAAATGGGATTCCATTAATTTTTTGCCTGGGTGGCCTCAAATCACAATCATCCTGATCTCCTCCTTCTGAGTAGCTGGGATTACACACCTGAGCCATTGCATCCTGCCCCCGACTTACAACTTAATTTAAGTTTTTTTAGTAGGAAATGGGCATTTATTTACTCACTCAATAAAGTTACTTTGCAGCTGTTACGAAGAGCCGCACATTTCGGTGTCAGGCACTGTTCTAGTAGTTGCAAAAACCAAACCAAACCAAACCAAGTTGGAATAATCATAGTTTATATAACTATACATACTATGTTGAAAGAAAGAACTCATAAACTCAAAAATATCAATGAGAACAGGAAATCATGAAAAGTACAGAGGAGATGTGAGAAAGGACCAAATAAACCATTTAAGTGAAAATTAAATAAAATAAATACAAGCCAGACTCCAGTGCGTTGTGCCTGTCATACTAGTCATTTGGGAGCCTGAGATGGGTCAGATCATGGTTCAGGATCAGTAGGGGCAAAAAGTTCACAAGATGGGGGCAGCGGGGAGAAATGACCCAAGCCTTGTATGCACGTATGAATAATAAAAGAAAAAAAAAAGTTCACAAGAACCAATATCTCAATGGAAAAAAGCTGGGTGTGGTGTTGCACACTTGTCATCTCAGCTATGGGGGGAGCATAAAAGTGAGACCCTTTCTCAAAAATAACCAGAAAAAAAGGGCTGGAGGCATGGCTCAAGTGGTAGAGAGACTGCCTAGAAAGTGGGAAGCTATGAGTTCAAACCCCAGTTAAAGTATGTACTTTAACATTAACATTAAAATTTTACTTCAAAGGCTTTAAAATATAAAACCATCACAGGACCTAGAAATTCAGTTGAAAAAGAAGCCACAATCATTCTCTTTTTCTCTGCACAGTTTTTCCTTTTCAGGGCTGTGTCATTAATACTTGGTAATCACCACCTTGACAAGGTGGGCCTGAGACCAGGGTAGTCAGCTGCAGAAGAAAAGGCTGCACTGTGGCAGGAAGAAGGACAGCTAAGTCACACTGGATTCAGAGCACAACAGTTGGAAATCATGAACTCCTAAATTTCTCTAAAAAATTTTTACTTTAAATTGGAATTAGTAATTGAAGTCCAAATATCCATTAATTGGAGAACTGCTTCATCATGTCTTATAATTTACCTATAGAGAAAACGCAATCTTTTTAGCAAAGCTGCAATTTTAAGTACCACACTTACCATTACTTTTGATGCTCAAGTGGCCTTTAAATATGCATGGTGAACTGTATCTGGAAGGACCGCGGTTGCTCTGACTTTTAACAACAAAAAAACATGAATTAGGATAAGTGAAACACAACTTCACACACACACACAAAAAGCTGAGTATTTCAAGAGTAATACATTTAAAGTCATTTAGAAATTTTATTCAATTACATTACTAGCCAGCAACAATATACAGCATACCTGCCTTATTTGTGGATTTATTACATACTGTTTAACCAAACACAGTAAAAAATGAATGAAAAAACTCAAAAGAAATTTCAAAATCAAAAAACTTTAATCCCACACACACTGCGCAGTTCAGTGGATGTGGAGAAACGCTCAGTCAGCCCTGCATTACCGTCAGTTGTGTTTAAATCACTGTGATCTGCTGCCCTTCACTGTGTGAAAATATGTCTCCTAAAACAGCAACTGCTTCCACAAAAGCAAGGTAAAAGTTAGGTTTGCTGAAAGGCGGCAGAAGTTGGGCAGCACCATGGGAAACACGAATCAAGCATCCACAGCACAGTGCTGAACTCTGCATACTGAGCACGCAGACACCAAGGGTTCATTGTACCAACACAAAAATTCTGTGGCCACAAGACAGTAAGTTATTTTCACTGGGTAAAATAATGCACACATCAATTATCTCACTTGATGTATTTAAGTTTATTCTGTACACCTATGATTCTTAATTGTGTTGAGATAATATCACTAAGATTTGAGTTAATACAAAGGTTTTAACTAATTTAATCACAAGCCAATCTGTCTTTAAATAATTTTAGGATAGTAATCCTCTCACAAAGAAAAGTATATTAGAAATTATAATAGATTACTATGTATAAAGTATGTACATCAGACTTTGATGATTGAGGTGATACCTTTGAATTGTGATGAGATAGTCATTAAATAGTTTAACTTCTGCCAAGACTGAAGGGGGTCTGAAAGTAAAAGATCTTAAGGTTCGTCTAAGTTCAAACTCAGTTACTCCTTGCTTGAATCGGATACAAATATCTTGCATTAAAACTCTTGTTTCCTTCCTATTATTGCTTATACTCTCTCTCAACAAAAATTAGAGATAAGGGCAAAATAGTTTCGCGGGTATTGAGTGGTGGGGGAGAGGAGGGGGCAGAGTGGGTGGTAAGGGAGGGGGTGGGGGCAGGGGAGAAAATGGACCCAAGCTTGTATGCACATGATGAATAATAAAACAATAAAAATAAACAAAGAAATACCTTGCAGTATCAGGTCTCTCTCCTCTCTTTTCTACTTTTCCCTTTTGAGAGGTATCTCACTATGTTGCTCAGGCTGGCTTGAACTCCTGGCTCAAGTGATCCTCCTGCCTCAGTCTCCTGAGTAGCCAGGACTAGAAGTGCACACCACTGTACCCAGTTAACACTGCATTTAAAGGAATTTCAGTAATGGAAAACTATCTTCTCTAAAAGTAGAGTCCAGATTTTCAGACTACATGGAATATTAGAAAATACATATGGACCCTCATCTCAAAATAATTTTCTTAAAAAGTGAATTGTTTTTAGCTAATTTCAAAACAGAAAAGCGAGTTAATGTAAATGTAATTAACACACAAAACCTGACTATTGTCCCCAAGACAAATTGATTTTTGGTGCCTGGGTAGAACCCAGGGCCTTGCACATGCTCTTTACAAGTAATTTCTAGTCCTGTGGGGTTATATTTTTAAAGCTTCAAAGAAAATTTGAATGTTCTACTTCTGAGTGAGACCTTAGCTCCTGAAATGTTTTAAGAGGGTAAAATGGCTGCAAGTTTGTTATAGATGGACTGTTAAAAGCTATACAGGTAGGGGAGGATACATGCAGACTTGAGAATAAATATGGATGACTAAAGGACGTATTTAGACAGGGATAGCTAAAATCTAAGATCCAGAGAAGAATAAAACCAAAAAAATGACTCAAGGCCAGAACAGCTGAAAAGCTCCTTCTACATTATAGGGCAGAGACAGGAAGAAAAACAAATTCAATTATTTAGAAAACAGAAGTTGAGGTGATACCCTTGAATTTTTGTGATGAAGATAGTCATTAGTTTAACTTCTGCCAAAGACTGAAGGGGGTCTGAAAGTTAAATATTAAAAACAAAACCAGGCAAGATATAATAATAAACTTTTAAAAAACCTTTTTCTTGAGAAGAAAAGAATCCTTGACTTTTTGCTATCTAGAACTCAGTCCGTCTTTATCTGGAAAGAACCTCAAGCTTCCTTTAGGAAACCAGCCCTCTTCATGTTTAACCCAGGTAGCTCAGGGTTGGGTATAGAACCCATGTCAGGACACTATGTTGACAAAATCAGCAATGACTACATGACCCAAGTCCATCAATGAGACAATCTGGGATTCTTTTTTTAAATTTTTATCTTATTCATATGTGCATACAATGGTTGGTCATTTCTTCCCCCTGCCTCCTGCTCCTCCCTTCCCCCCCCTTACCCCTCACTACCAGGCAGAAATTATTCTGCCCTTATCTCTAATTTTGTTGAAGAAAGAGTATAAGCAACATAAAGGACCAAGGGTTTTCACTAGTTGAGATAAGGATAGCTATACAGGGAGTTGACTCGCATTGATTTCTTACATGTGTGTTATCTTCTAAGTTAATTCTTCTCGAACTAACCTCTTCTCTAGTTCCTGTCCCCTCTCCTATTGGCCTCAGTTGCTTTAAGAGTATCTGCTTTAGTTTCTCTGCGTTGAGGGCAAACTAATGCTATCTAGTTTTTTTGGGTGTCTTACCTATCCTCATATCTCCCTTGTGTGCTCTCCGCTTTTATCATACGATCAAAGTCCAATCCCCTTGTTGTGTTTGCCCTTGATCTAATGTCCACATATGAGGGAGAACATATGATTTTGGTCTTTGGGCCAGGCTAACCTCACTCAGAATGATGTTCTCCAATTCCATCCATTTACCAGCGAATGATAACATTTCGTTCTTCATGGCTGCATAAAATTCCATTGTGTATAAATACCACATTTCTTGATCCATTCGTCAGTAGTGGGGCATCTTGGCTGTTTCCATAACTGGCTATTGTGAAAGTGCTGCAATAAACAGGTGTGCAGGTGCCTCTGGAGTAAACCTGTGTCACATTCTTTTGGTATATCCCAAGAGTGGTATTGCTGGATCATATGGTAGATCAATGTTTAGGTTTTAAGTAGCCTCCAAATTTTTTCCAGGGTTCCTTTTTCCCATATCCTCGCCAACCTGTTGGTGGTGGTGTTGCTAATGATGGCTATTCTAATAGGGGTGAGGTGGAATCTTAGTGTGGTTTTAATTTGCATTTCCTTTATTGCTAGGGATGGTGAGCATTTTTCATGTGTTTTTGGCATTTGAATTTCTTCTTTTGAGAAAGTTCTGTTTAGTCACTTGCCCATTTCTTTATTGGTTCATTAGTTTGGGAGAATTTAGTTTTTTGAGTTCCCTTATATTCTGGTTATCAGTCCTTTGTCTGATGTGTAGCTACAAATATTTTCTCCCACTCTGTGGGTGGCCTCTTCAGTTTAGAGACCATTTCTTTTGTTGAGCAGAAGCTTTTTAGTTTTATGAAGTCCCATTTATCTATGCTGTCTCTTTGTTGCTGAGCTGCTGGGCTCCATTGAGAAAGTTCTTGCCTATACCTATTAATTCCAGAGTATTTCCTACTCTTTCCTGTGCCAACTTTAGATTTAGGGTCTGATATTAAGTCCTTGATCCATTTTGAGTTAATACTGGTATAGGGTGATATACATGGATCTAGTTTCAGTTTTTTGCAGACTGCTAACCAGTTTTCCCAGCAGTTTTTGTTGAAGAGGCTGTGCTTTTCTCCATCGTATAATTTTTAGCGCCTTTGTCAAAGACAAGTTGGTTATGCTGAGTGGCTTCATATCCGGTCCTCTATTCGTTTCACTGGTCTCATGTCTGTTTTTGTCCAGTACCATGCTGTTTTATTGTTATTGTTTTGTAATTAGTTTTGAAGTCAGGTATCGTGATACCTCCAGCAGTTTCTTTTGACTGAGTATTGCCTTGGCTATTCGTGGCCTCTTGTGTTTCCACATAAATTTAATGGTAGATTTTTCAATCTCTTTGATGACTGTCATTGGAATTTTGATGGGAATGCATTAAACATGTAGATTACTTTTGGGAGTATAGACATTTTTACTATGTTGATTCTACCAATCCACGGCATGGGAATCTCTCCACTTCTATAGTCTTCCTCAATCTCTTCTTCAGAAGTGTATAGTTTTCCTTGTAGAGGTCGTTCACATCCTTTGTTAAGTTTACACCTACGTATTTGATTTTTTTGAGGCTATTTAAATGGAATTGTTTTCATATATTCTTTCTCAGTTTGTTCATTATTAGTGTAGAAATGCTAAGATTTTTATGTGATTTTATATCTTGCTACCTTGAATAAGCTATTGATGTGTCTAGGAGCTTTTGAGTAGAGTTTTTTGGGTCTTAAAGGTATAATCCTGGGATTTTATAGGGACTATTAAGAAAGATATCTCTTTGCTGGGCTTGCCATGCACAGATAGGATGTAAGCAAGCCTGGCCACCAATAGAGAGAAAGAAGCCTGCACAAAGAACAGAGGAACCAAGGCAGATAGAGTCCTGGTAACAATGAGTACCTGGAACAATCATGTTGAAGTTCTACCCTCCCTAGACTCTCCTTATATGAGTCAAAAAATTCCCATTTTAGCTCAAACCATTTGAGTTGGGTTTCTCCATTCATAGTCAAGATGTTAATTTATTGCTACTTAACTGTGCCAGAACACTGTTCTAAGCACTTTGCAGGTATAAATTCATTTAATCCTTACAACAATTCTGTAAGTAGTATAATTCTCCTCCATTTATAGGTGAGAATAGATGAAGCACAAATTATACAACTTCGCTGTGACATATTTAAGACCTGGACCAGGCAGTCTGGTTTCTGACTCTCAAACATCATATTACCTTGACCAATATAGATGCCCCAGCACTCCAACCATGCTCTAAGCTACTATATTATATTAGACAGACTAAGAAGGTTTTCAGCTTGACAAATTTATTACCTCTAAATTTCATTCTAATGTATACATGTTTTACTATAAGTTACAGAAAAAACAATAAAAACAAGTATATCCAGAGAAGTTAGAGACAATGGAAGAAAAGCTGGGACTAGTAATACTGTAGATGGAACAAATGACATCCCCACCCCAAACACACTTGGATGGCAGATGTGAACAAGGTGGTTATAATCTGCCCCAGGTACCACTCTGACATCTCTTTAGCATAAAATGTTGATAAGAAAAAAATAGAGCTTAGGTCTTGTTCCCTATTTACCTTCAAAAGTACACCCAGGCCTATATTATTGGTTTTCTAACATCCTATAGATAAATATCATGTTAAAATTGACAGAACTGAAGAGAAAAACAGACAATTCAATTCCTCTGGTCCTCTCACAAGCTTTGTTTCTTGTGGGGAGAGGGGTCACACTGTTTCTGTTTCTTTATAGAACTTATGATTTTTGTTGTTGTGTTGTGAAAAAGTGACTATTTTGGTAACATATGTAGCATCTCTAGATGGAATCCTCCCCTGAGTTTGTTTTCACTGCTTTTTACTTGTTTAGTGACTTGGCTGAACAATTTAATGAACTCTCTGTCCTAGAGAGTTAAGGGTTTGGGCAAGGGTACAGTTGCACCTTCTTCAAAAAGGTCTGAATCTCCAGTCTTTGGGAGGAAGCACTTGCCAAATTTTGTCTTTCTTTGAGTATTTGTCCTCAGCTCTAGGGTGACAGGTACAGTTTTCTTATATTTTATAGTTACTCTTTATGATACCTTAATTTTTTAACTTTTCTTGCTTAAATCACTGTGTGTTTCTATATCCTAATGGGCACAGAATGATCCCAAAGGGCATGGAAGTGTATTCTAAAACCAAATGTCAGAGCCAGGTGTGGTGGCTCATACCTGTAATCTTGGCTCCTCAGGGAGGAGAGATTGGGAGGTTCCAGGTCAGTCCTGGTTAAAAAAATTCACAAGACCTTACCTCAAAAAAAGGCCGGAGTGGTGGCTATGAATATTAGGATCACAGTCTAGGCCAGACCAGGAATAAATTTCCCTGTTGGAAAATAACTAAAGCAAAAAGGACTGAGGGCATGGCTCAATCAGTAGAGAACCTACCTAGCAAGTACAAGGCCTGAGTTCAAAAACCAGTTCTGTCACAGTGCCATAGGTTCACACCTGTAATCCTAGCTACTCAAGAGGCAAGATAGAGGAATCAAGGTTAGAAACCAGCAGGCAAATAAGTTTGCAAGACCCTATCTTGAAAATACCCAACACATAAAAAGACTGGCAGAATGGTTAGTGGTTAGTAAAATGCATGCCTAGCAAACAGGAATCCCTGAGCTCAAAACCCCAGTGCTACAAGAAAACCACTAAGAAAAAGTTCTACCAAAAGGCCGCATGAACCAAACCAAAAAATGCTCAGGAAAAAAAAATGGGAAAATAAATCCACTTTCTACATAGATTAGGTTAAAAAACTTGTCATGAGATTAACAGTCTTGCTTGGGTAGTGAAATTCTTCAGTAGTTGAGAGCAACTCGGTTTTCTATACAATAATTTTACCAACAAGTCAGGAGGAATTCCACTGATAAAAGATGTCCCGTGTAGCAGGTTTTGTCCAGAGACACTGGAGGTTTTGGAAACCATCACTGACAGTGTCTCCCTGGGACCAAACAGATTAAAATAAAAAAATGTTTTCAAAGCCATTTTCAGTTACTCTACAGGCTATCTCCTCTCCTTTTCCCCCAAAGATCATTGAGAACACAGTGATGGCAGTTTGACAGTCTCAATTTTTCTTCCATAAACAGACACTCTTTAGATATCTAGTTCACTCTCTCCCTCCCTCCTTTTTACAGATAATTAAGGGCCAGGGAATAAAGTACCTGTGGACAGTAACATAGTTAAGCACCGAGATTACAAACAAGCTCTGTGGCTTTTTCAGCTGGTGTGCTTTCTACTACATTATCATTCAGAAGTTTTACTCAATGAAAGGATGTAATTATAGAAGGAAAATGGCAAAAGATTTTTTTTCTTTAGGTGTCTTAATATTCTATGTTCTGAAATAACTGAAAGTAATCTAACCTAAGAAATTTATTTTCAACTAAAGCATTTAAACTTTGGCTTAAATTTACAGCTGCTTATAAAAGGTAATTTATGGTATATGAGAACTATCCCCAAATATTGTTGAATATCACATTTAGCTTAAAAATTAAAAATCAAATAACAATTTTTCATATTATACATCTTAAATATCTACAAATAAAGCTAATCAAATTGGTAATTATAAATCTTTTGAAAGTTTGACATGGACTTAATTTAAAAATACTACTAAGAACTTACTAGGTGCGAAAATTTTACATATGCATACCATTTTCCCAATGTCCCCAGCTCCAGGGTGTTACTTTCTCACTTGGACTCAAGCCTGTTCTGCACTAAGACCTTTAGAGTTTTATGTATGATCTTTTGTTTTATTACTGATAATATCTATCTACCAATATTTTTTGTGTATTAAATCAAAACAGTTTGGGACTAGTTCCTGGTACATAGCAAAGGTTTAGTGGTTTATGTTGTAAAGTTTCTGAAGACCGTAAGATAGTTTTGGGTTGCTTTCCCAGATTTAGTTGGTATACGTGTCAAAGTACCCAACCTGGCAGATTAATATCTCCTAATCAGCACAAGCACTTATTTTGATCAATATCACTAGTAAAGGTACAACTCATATTCATAACAAACTTAATTGATGGAATCAGCTAGCAAGCTAGATTTAGAAGTACCCCTTTTAAGTAGATAACAATACTAAATTGGGAAGAGGGGGACGTGCAGATTAACAAAATAGACAATCCTGCTTAAAGTGTGAAGATGCAAACTGGATTGGCTGATTTATGGTTATATGGCCCTCAACCATTCCGCCATGATATCCACTTGACTCAGAATATTCAGTCAAGGGCAGGCGTGTATTATAATTATGGATTAGTCCTTTGCTACTAAAACTGTCGCACCATCAGCGCAACAGCATTGCATCGCCGGGAAGTTTATCAGATATGCAATACCCAGGCCCTCTCCCAATCTACTGAATCATAATCTGCATTTTAACATGATTCCTGGGGGGGGGATCCTATTCACATTATAGGAACTCTGGGTTCCTTGGTAGATGGAGGAGGGTGCAGCCAGTCAGTGACTGAATGGGAGATTTCGTATGCACTGAGTACTTAAAATGTGCCAGGAGCTTTCTAGGTATATCTGCATTTAATCCGCAGGAACTCCAGGGCATTTGACCCTACATTCAATAAATGAGAAAACTGAGGCTTGTTTCTATGGAGAGCAGAGGGGCTTGACTTAGGGTCCAGGAAGGTCGGACCCCAAACACCAACCTGGGTTGCTCTGCTTTGGAGCTACCGAGCTCAGCAGACTGGGGGTCCTAGAGTCAGGGAGGCAAAATCAGGACGAGGAGCGGACCTGCGAGCCCAAAAAGCAGAACCCATTCCTGTGCGCGGCGCCTGGACAGCTCCCGGCATCCCTCGGGGCAACGGGGCGCCTCAGCAGGAGACCCGGGGCGTCCAGGGAGCGGGTTGCAGCCGCTCAGCCTGTTCCCAAAGCTGCCGTTTACCTCTCCGGCTGCCGTCCATGCTTAGTCCTCCTGCAGCCGCCTTGCGGACACACTGGGTCCCCTTCGGTCGTCTTCCCCACCCCCCGGCAGGCCCAGCCCCCGCAATGGTGGTGCGAAAAGGAGGAGTCGGCTGGGGCCTCAGCGGCCTGGAGATCGTTGCCAGGCCGGTTACTAAGGGCCGGTTCTGCGGCGGCGGATTGTGACGTCACGACGCACGGGCGTGCGCTTCCGAAGCCCCGCCCCAGGAGTGCCCAGGGAGGAAGTAGAGCTACTGCAGGTGGAGGCACAGCGCTGGGAAGGTGTTCCCGAGCCGTCTTTGCTCTGGATCCTGCCAGTCGCCACCGAGTGAGCTCCTCTCAGGAGCCAAGTCCTCAGCACCTGGCAGCCTTGTCCCTGCGGGAAGAGCGGGGAAGGAGGTGCTTTCATCTGGCCATCCAATCTCCCGGGTCCCAGAAACAGGCAAATGTTACTTGAGGTCGGGTAACATTGAGCCAGTTCCAAATAAGTTTCAAAGCAGTCCCGCGAACTTTGGATTAGTGAAAATCCTGGGAGTGAACCAAGAGCTACATATTAATCCCTAACTTCCCTCATCATTGAATTACTTATACTCATTGAGCTGCTCGACTTCAGTCCCCAGCTCCCTTTTATCTTCAACTCACAATCGGTTTTCGTTCAACTGAAAAGCTGCACGATGAACAAGGGTCCAATTTGCGGCTTTTTACAAACTGTTTAATTTGGAAGCCGTTATCTGTGAATCTTTGGATATATGATCAGAGTAAGGCAGACAGCAGTCTGTCACATATTCAACGGCTTGCTTACTGGAATTTTAGGTGGATGTGTAATTCTTTGCTGTGGGGTGAGGGGTGGGAGCCTTCCTTGTGCACCATGCTGTTTAGCAGTATGCCTGGCCTTGACTCTCTAGAAGTCAACTGCAACCCATTTACTCCACTGCTAGCTATGACTCAAAACCGGGTCTAGACATTGTCAGGTGTAGCCTGGGGAAAAAAGTCACACACCATTGAGAACCACTCCTGGCTTTGGAGCTAGATTTGTAGAACTGAATTTTGAGTTCCTGCCATTTACAAGTTCAATCTTGAATTAGGTTCTAAACCTCTTAGGGCCTCAGGTGCCTCTTTTCTCCAATTTAAGTGATCTACTAACTGTAGTTCCCGGTATGATATGTACAGTGGCTGGCAAATAAAAGGAGATATTCTCCAAATACTAGCTGTCTCTAAGATCCTGCCTCAGAAGAGCTGAGTATCAGCAGATTCATACTTAAGGAAGTAAGTCAGGAATCCTACAACAAGGAAAGAGGAATAAAACACAAACCCAGTTTAAAGGAACGCCTCAACCCATGGCTCATTTACTAAAGCAGAGATTAGAGAGAAAATCTGACTCAAAATTTGAGAAATGTGGGAGTATGTGTGATGACTTAATGGCCCCAACAACATTTAGGAGGATAGGAGCAGTCAATGAATTGCATGGGAAAGCCAATTACTTGTTTCTTTTTTGTCTTAGTTGAAAGAAGCTCAAAACTAAGATTTGGGGGGCATGGCTCCAGTGGTAAACACCTGCCTAGCAAGAAGTGGTAGAGCACTGCCTAGCAAGCATGAGACCCTAAGTCTAACCCCAGTATCACCAAAACAAACAAAACTCTAAGATTTGTTCTCAGTTGTGCTATTACCCATCAAGTCTACTTTTTATTATCTTCCATTTTCTTTACTGGGAGTAGGTTTTATTCTCCACTTTTATTTTAATTGTTTAATTATACTGTCTTACTGGATGAGCTCCAAGGCCTTTGGAATAGGGATATAATAAAATAAACTATATATCATTTGATGTCAAAACATAAAGTCTAATACAAATTACATATTTTTATATTTATATTTATTCTGTATAATATTATTTAAATACTATATATATACATTAATTCTATCTTTAGAGATGACCTTTAGTTTCATAATTCAGAAGATTCATGTTTGTATCTTTGGGCGTGCCTAAGCACCACCAATGAAAGCTCTGTAACAAATGCAGTAAAAGCAACAAAAATCAAAAGGTCAAGATTGATTTTCTTTTCATTGGGCTATTATGAACATATCTTAATCCTAAAGTCCCTGAAGGACAAAAAGTAAAGAAATCTATGGAATTTTTTTGAGGTATTCATAGTAGTAAATAGAATTACAGGGTGTGTGTGCACTCTGTATTGATCTCAGTCTCAAAACAAAAACCCTTTAGGTTTTGGAGACTGAAGAATACTTGAGAATTTGAGCTACTATCTTGCACTCATTACCCAATCAAATACTGCTGTTGATTCATCTAATACAAAAATGAGAAAATGGAAGCTAAAGCTTGTTGGTGTTATGTTTATACTAATATATTGATTTGCTGCTTGTCACTAGAGGGGGCTTTAGGAAAGTTTTAAACTCCATCCTGTGAGAAAAGTAGCCATGCCAAGGCAACAACCTACAAATCTTACAAATATAAAAAAAATTCCAAAAGAAAAAATTATAGTTAATCACATACACACTGAATTCTTTACCAAGCACAGGAAAAATTACTTTATTGTCTAAAGGTCCTTAGTGGATAAAAACAATCTTCAACCTATAATTTGATTTTTCTTAATTTTATTGTTAAAAGCAAGAAAGAGCAGGAATGATGATAATTCTCTGCAAGGCAACATGTGTCTAATGGGAGTACAAGTAGGCAAAAGAATGCTAATACTGACCCAAAATGACCATTTGGGGTTCTCTTACTGAGTAAAAACCTTGCATGTGAGTGCAAATGGTGTCTTGTCCATGGTCATTCTCAGAAGAAACCTCATAGAATTTTCACTGCAGTTTTTAATACGCTAAAATTCCACACTTTATTTTTTCCTACAATGGAAAAGAGCACAAAATTGTGACTTTGTATGTAGCTTAACTGGCCTCTTGTTACCAATAAGAGTCACTCATATTGTGACCCTTTGGCTAAGATTGCTGAGATTGCAGACATTAGGTCCACAGATAATTGCCACTGCAAGTCCATCTCTCCATTTTTCTCCAGCTGTGTTCTTTAAATCTTTTCATCCAATTAAGAGAACAAGTCTCTGTGAGCAGAACTTAATCATTCAGTGTTACTAGGTAACCTGTCCCCATGGCTTTATCTATTCATCCACTGCCAATCAATTGCCACAATATATTAGGGAGGTTGCTCTGCCCGAATATTCAATAATCTCTGCTGAATGCACTCTCTGTTTACAGGGGCTTCACCATTCTAAACAAAATGAAACAGAAAACACAAACAAGTTGTTTGTCTACCCTGATAATCTCACTCAGAGTTTTAGCAATTTCTTAGAAATTCTTGAGAATATATGAGCAAATAAGCTTAGAAAATGGAGAGGAGGGCGCTTCTTAAAACCTTGGACATGTTCCATCTCTGACTTCACTTGACTCAAATAAAACTTTTCTCTTGCCCAGTTTGAGCCCTTTCATTTCCTTGTCTGCAATTAGTGTTCATAATATTATTTTAAATGCTATATTATTATTGTACATTTAATCTCTATCTTTTACATGACTCTTAGTTTCATAATTCAGAAGATTTCTGGAATTCATGTTTGTCTTTTGGACATGCTACACCATCATGAAAATTATTTAACAAATGCAGAAAAGCAGCAAAATCTAAATTGTCCAACAATATTAAAATGTGTTATGCAAACAGCTTCTAACTATGTAATATTAAATAGCCACTGAAGTTTCTACCCATAGGCATCTTTAGGTTAAAGAAAAATAGTGAGGCAAGAAATAAATGCAGAGGTATTTCACATTGTGGGCACAATTTAGAGAGAAATGTTGGTAGACTGAGCACAGAAAGCCTTCCTCTGTGTTATTTAGGACATGAAGAAGCCTGGTGGAGTGACTCAAGTGGTAAGAGGGCAAGTGTGGGGCCCTGAGTTCAAACCCCAGTACTGCAAAAAAAAAAAAAAACCAAAAAAAGATGTGAAGATTGGTATTTATATATGATACACAAATAAGGTAGAATAAATGATGATTCAAGCATTCTAATTTACTTTTTAAACAAGGCTGTCAGAATTGGGGGTTAGGAGATCCCAGTGATCACTAAGCCAAAACTCTCAACTTTCATAAAAGACTACTGGAGAAGATAAACAGCTAGCCTATAAACTTGGTGCTCTTTCCACAAAATCAGGAAATTAGCAACAGGACAATAATCTGTGGACTTCATTAAACATGTTCACTTCTAGGCGATGCTATCTAAAATAATGGAAAGTGATTTTCATTTGCGCTTGTGTTCATATCAAATGGAAAGGTGAGTTTGCTTTAGTCTTTGTCTTAGACAAATCTGTCCTGAGATGTCCTAGATAAATAAGGATATGTATATTTTAAGTCACACTTTTTATTCGAAAGACCAGCAGGTATTATTCTTCCAACATGACATAGTGCACAGTTGAATCCAATTTCTCTCTTACCCTGACATGATTCCTTTACCATAATTCAGAGATTGTCATTGGCATTGAGATGAAGAATATTGCAGTGGAGAATTATCTCTCAGAAGGGGCAACTTCTCTATTTCAAGGATGGTGAAAAGAACAACACCAATGTGTTTATAAACTTAACTTCAATTTTTTTTTTTTCATTTTTCGTTTTTATTATTCATATGTGCATACAAGGCTTGGTTCATTTCTCCCCCCTGCCCCCACCCCCTCCCTTACCACCCACTCCCCCCCTCCCGCTCCCCCCCTCAATACCCAGCAGAAACTATTTTGCCCTTATCTTAATTTTGTTGTAGAGAGAGTATAAGCAATAATAGGAAGGAACAAGGGTTTTGCTGGTTGAGATAAGGATAGCTATACAGGGCATTGACTCACATTGATTTCCTGTGTGTGGGTGTTACCTTCTAGGTTAATTCTTTTTGATCTAACCTTTTCTCTAGTTCCTGGTCCCCTTTTCCTATTGGCCTCAGTTGCTTTAAGGTATCTGCTTTAGTTTCTCTGCGTTAAGGGCAACAAATGCTAGCTAGTTTTTTAGGTGTCTTACCTATCCTCACCCCTCCCTTGTGTGCTCTCGCTTTTATCATGTGCTCATAGTCCAATCCCCTTGTTGTGTTTGCCCTTGATCTAATGTCCACATATGAGGGAGAACATACGATTTTTGGTC